ATGCTTTTGCATAGCTGAGTCAGGTCAGTGACACCACGCAGGCAGTCACACAGTCTGTATTATCCTTCCCTTTCTCTGGTCCAACAGCATCCGAGTTTCCGTGTCCCATGCCTTTCAATGCAGCAAGTGCTCTCAGAGCAACCTCATCCCAACTTGACCACACTGGTGACACCATGAGAGCTGGTGCAGCTGCTGGAGCACAGCAGAAGCATCTAAGTCCTTCCCCTCTTTGTTCAGACCTGCAAAATGGTGATTTCAGGATTTTTGGCCCATTTTAGGCCATGCTGTGATCTCCAAGGTATGTGCTGACCCTCTGCATGCCCCAAAAAGCACTTTTCATCCTTGCTTAAATGCTTCACCAAGGGATAAATCTGGGCTCATGCTTCAGCAGATAGTCCTGCAAGAAGGTGCTGTGAAGAAGGGAAAGCAAGTGTGTGCTCACATGCAGGCTCCTCCTGCCTGGCACAGAAGCCTTGGCTGTGCATGGGCTTCTTCATTGAAAACCTTATGGGTGGGAAGGAATGAGACAGGTTATTTGATATAAAGCAGTTTTGGACTCACGATACTAGGTTAGACATATCTGCTTTGTATCCATTTTGTGAACATCAGAGAGATTGGTTCTGAGCACTGGAATCTAGGATGAGATGTGAGCACAATTTTCTCCTCCTTGGATGTCGTCCAGAGTTCCAGTCTGGCTCTACCTGCTATAAATTAGTCATCAGACAGTGATAAAAAAGATGTAAAAATATTTTATTGCTACAAAGCACATGTCTTTGCCTGTCCCTGGTACTTTAATGGGTTATTGCAATGTTAATAGTCACATACACAATATTGTAAAAGCCAGGATTATGTGATCCCTCAAAGTCTCTTATAGCCTTGTTTTCTATGAGACCATAAATAGTCGCCGCTAAAGCACAGTGGTGTGTCTGTCTATCCAGCACACAGCAAAGAGGGCCAGAAGAAATTATGAGTTTTGAGGTAAGACAAATAAAAGATGACTGAGAGAAAGATCTGAGTATGTCTAATTGTCAGCACAGAAAGAGAAGGTGATTGAAGGAAGGTACCAATTAGCACAGTTACTAATGAAGTCATGATCTGATGGCAGGGAATGTGCAGCTGGCTGCACCATTGACAGCCATATGGGTGTCTACCTGCCCGTCCTTCCTCCCTTCCCGGCACTTGTGGACAACTGGCCAAATGCAGCTGAGCTGGGCTGGAGCATGGAGCTTTGGGGACATTCCCACAAGCTTCATAAGAACCAGCAGTGAAGGAAAGTGAAACATCCTATTTGCTCTTCTTTTTTGGTGGAACTGTGGTGGATCAGAGGTCAGAGAATCTGCACAGATGAGACACGCTGGAGATTGGCGACGTCCCTGAGTGTTTGCTGCTCTTTGTTTGCAGGAGCACGTTGTGAGCTGGAGAAGGATCTGCACCACCTGCAGTTAAACACACCTTGGTTTTCTCACACACTTCAAGTTTTATCCCTGCAAATGTCACCTGATGTGGCCTGGGGAGCCTTCATGGATGGACGACCCATGGCACTGGTGAAGGCAGCTATAAATGAGTGGATATGCTCAGTGAAAAGGTGAACCAGGACTGGACATTTTCTAGCCCAGGGATGCCTGTCAGAAGGATCATGTCTGGGCTCTCCACGGTCGGGTTGAGAAGCAGCACGATACAATGCTGATGCTGTCAGCTTTGTGCCCTAGGGCTAAAAGCAGTCCAGTTATTTGAAAGCAGCACGGATGTCAAAGACCCTGTCTGTGCACAAGCCAAAAGTCCTCCTGGCATGACAAAGCAGCCACAAAGAAGTGGGCATGTGGGCATCCATTGACAGCATGGGGAACATTCTGGAACATGCCAAATATTGCAAGCTGTGAGTTTTCATCTTCACTGCACACTCACAGTCTTGCTCAAAGAGCCTTGGAGAGTCTGAAAGGTAGAACTGGAAAGGCAGATGGGGGGTTGTTTTATAACCTGAACAGGATCACAGAAGGATTGTGGTTAAAGGGACCCCTGGAGATCACCTTAGGGAAGTGCTGCCCACTGTGTTGCTGCCCTGTCCCAGGAACCTTGGTGCCTGGGTCCCAAGAGACTCCACTGAGGATGTGGAGTCCTCCTGCATTGACCAAGTCTGCATGGGGACCTGTATTCAGAGATTGTGTGGGGCCTTCTGGAGATGGCAGTAGCAGGTACAGGTTCGTGGACGTTGCACCAAGCCCATAGCAGCCCTTTGTTCCCAAACTAATCCCGGATTCGGCCTAGACAAACCGGTGTCAGGCCTTCTGAGTGTAACTCATAGCCCCTCCATGATCATCCCACAGACACACTTTCTGGGGAGTCATTTGACAGATAAGAGCAAGAAGCTCTTTTCCTCTTTGCCTTGTCCTCCTGTACTTTCCTTCAGCTTTTACCACCACTCAGGAATGCAGTGAGGTCCCTACTTCATGTGTTGGCCCATCCAAGCCCTGAAATGGCACCATCTCCAGGGTGGCAAGCTTGCACTACCCTGGCATGGCCTCGCTCTCCAACATTCCCCTATGGAACACCTCTGACTGGAAATGCTGGTGGCACCATGGAATTCCTCCAGAGTGGGGATTGAATCTCTTGGACAACCTCTGCACTGCCCATTGCCACTAAGGGAAGAAACCCTCGGGAGCATTGCAGATCAGACAGAAAACAATCCCAACCATGGAACAGTTTCCATAGAGAGAGAAAATAAACAGATGATAATCCATTGTCTGGAAAAGAGGACAGCTTGGGAGAGAATGCCAGGAGCATAAACAGGTTTAGAGAAAACATTAGGAACGCTCACCGTGATTGGAGCTGTTGGTGGCTGTTAAACAAGGTGGTCTGAGTGCCATCTGCCATTCAGTAGGTCCCTAGATGGGTGACAGGTTTCTTGGTATTTTATTGGCATCTTTATGGAAGCAGTTGTTGGGAAAGTGACTCTTGGGCAGAACCCAAATTTTAGACTGGAAGGAGACACCAAAGCACTGGGTGTTGTGTGTGCTGTTCAGGCTCATTTTCTGGAGAACTTCATCTCCCTTGCATTGAGTTATAATATCTGTCTGTAGCCAAGATAGCAGTCTCACCTGTTTTCCAAATGAGGATTTTTTTTGAGTGTGATCAAGTGTGATTCATGCATTGCACATGCAGCACTGAGCGAACCAGAACACTTCAGCCCCTCTAAAGCTGAAATGATCTTGAGATGGCCAAATCAAAGAAAAAATGGGAGAATTAAAACAGTAATAAAGGGCTTTGTATAAACGTTATGGAGGCTATTCCCAGGCTTCATGTGCCTTGAAAAAGTGGATTTTTGTGGGCAGGACAGCAGAGCCAAAAGCAGCAGCACTCCAGTAGCAGATTGGCATGAGTTGGGTGTCCAGTTCCAGCTGACGCTGGTGTCATGGGGTTCCCCACGAGGTGCAGGCTAGTTTAGCTCCCCACATTCTCTTGAAAATGCAACCCATGTCATTGTTACAATGAGGCCTTTAAAGCACTGCAGTTCTTTGCCTATGATCCTGCTCAGAGCGTACAGCTCAACAGGCAGGGATGATAACTGACTGCTAAATTGGGAAGGGCATGAAATGTTTCAATAAAAACAAACCACACATCTCAGTGAAATTTTATTCAGAAATCGGCATATACTCAGATGTGATGATTGTTTATCCCTTTGGGAACTCATTTCAGTTAGCTGATGCCCCAGATAGACTCCTCCCGTAACTCCTGTTAATGTCTTACTGTCATCCTGCTGGTCATGGGACTGGGCGTCCTCCTCACCTGTGCCTCCAGTGCCACCTTGCAGCTGCTGTTTTGGAAGGAGAGGTGCAGGGTGCTCAGCACCTGTGTTTCCCATATATATGTAGTCCTAAGGACTGCATGACCAAAGAGCACCTAGGCCAGGCAGGCATCAAAGTCGATCTTCTTCAGGCTCAGCCAGAAGCTGCATGAGGCTTTGGGCAGGCCAAGGTGCTCATCACTCTGTCTGGAGCATGTGGGGGAGACAGCACATAAACCTGTGCAAGCTCTCCTCATCTGGATTGAGATGCAGCAGGCCATGGTCACCCACCATGCCAGTGGGGTCCATGGAGCAGAACAGGAGGTGTATCTGCACAGGAGACCCCCTTCAGCGTCGAGCCCTGCATGAAGAAAGTCTTTTCAGTTCTGTGGGAAGGAGGTGATCTCTGCAGAGATCCTGCAGCCACAGACTGAGAGTTGCTGGCACAAGAGGGCTCAGAATAGGTTCCATCATCTCTCCCGCCACCAGTTCATTGAATCTCTCTGCTCCTTTTGGCCAGGTGTCACCACATAGATGCAGGATCATCACTTCTTTGGCCCCTCTTCCCTCCACCGACTCTGCTTAAACTGACCAGCAGGGCCAAGGACTCTTTGGGGAGGACCTGCAGGCCCACAGAGAGCACAGTCTCTTACAGCTCATTTCCTCTATGAGCAAAAAAAAAAAAAAAGAAAAAAAAAGAAAGAAACACGGGCGTCGGAGCTCAGACAAGGATATTACTTACGTTTGATTCATCATCAGCACAATGACGTCAAAGCTGAATACTCTGCTTTGCTCCTGCTCTGCTTTGGCTGACCTCCAGATTTAGCACCCTTGTCAGTTTGTCATTCCTGTGTGTACTCAGGAGAAGAGACTGGAGGCATTTCAAGAGGAGAGTGTGCTTACTGCACAATTCTGTGTCCCAGTCTGACGTCGGTGGCCCTTAGAGGCTGCACATGGCATTACTTGTGTAAAGGTCTGTACGTGCTCATGCAGGTGGGGCAGTACAGGGCTATTCACCTTATTTGGCTCTGCTCTAGGATCCTGCTCTTTCCTGGCCCTTGCAAATGCAGACAGGATGCCCATAGTGTAGCAGGGATGGTGGGGCATGTTCAGGAGCAAAGTGTCTGGAGAAGCTTCATGAGAGTCCTACATCATTCTGGGGTCTACCTGAGAGGAAGCCACAGCTCAACTTGGAGCAGCAGCAAATGACATCCAGCGCTTAGAGCCTCTTGCGAGAAAAGGCAATGCGCACCCGCTCACGGATCTCTTTGGTTTTCATGCCATACACTATAGGATTCATCACAGGAGGGAGGAGGAGGTACAGATTGGCCATCAAGATGTGCACATGAGGGGCAATGTGGTGACCAAACCTGTGGATGACTGATGAGAGAAGCACAGGGATGTAGAAGACCAAGATGGCACAAATGTGGGCAAGGCAGGTGCCAAATGCTTTCAGTTTCTCCTCCTTGGTTGCCAGGCTAAACACAGTCCTCAGGATCCTTAGGTAGGAATGCCCAATGGACAGCAGATCCAACCCCACAATAAAGAAAGTCACAAAGATGCCGTAGATATTGTTGACCCTGGTGTCAGCACAGGCCAGCTTCACCACGGCCATGTGCTCGCAGTAGCAGTGGGAGATGACGTGAGAGCGGCAATAGGGCAGGCGGCGGAGCAGGAAGGGCAGGGGCAGCATGAGCCCCGATGCCCTGAGCACGGCCAAGAGCCCAATCTTCACTATCAGGGAGCTGGTCAGGATGGAGCTGTATCGCAGCGGGTTGCACACAGCAACGTACCTGTCGAAAGCCATGGCCAGCAGCACTGCTGACTCTATGATGGAGAAGGAGTGAAGGAAAAACATCTGCACAAGGCAGGCCTTGAAGGGGATCGCCTGCGCGTTGAACCAGAAGATGCTCAGCATCTTGGGCAAGGTGGTGAGGGACAGCACCAAGTCAGTGACGGCCAACATGGAAAGGAAATAGAACATGGGCTTGTGGAGAGAGGGCTCTGTCTTTATCACATACAAGAGGGTACTGTTCCCCACAAGGGCGATGGCAAACGCTGTGCTGAAGGGGATGGAAATCCAGCGGTGCATCCCTTCCAGCCCAGGGATGCCCGTCAGGAAAAACATCTCTGGGGTGGTGTTGCTGGAAGCAGAGAAGTTGGCATGGAGAGTCATCCTGGCTAAGCTTCACCTTCAGGTCTTCCTTTTCAATAAAACATAATAGAAGGAGCCATTAGACTTTGCAAAACATACTAATCTGTGCCACTTTCACAGTGAACCCCTTATAATTTGTGTAGCTGATGTGTTGCTCTGCCTCTAAATAAATCATGATAAGGTGTGGAGTTTATCAAAACCAAAGTGAAGTGAAACAAAATATAAAGTATGACCATCATTACTGATATGTGAAATTCCTCAGTGCTAATTTGTTTTTTTAAAACATCACCAAATTTATTAGTGTGAGTATGCAAGGGGATACAAGAACATACACATAATTTACTTGTGCGCATGGATCTTCAGGATGGTTACCACTGTGAGTATACATCTAGTCCATTCAGTATGCAATGCCAGCTCTCTCTGCTCAGGTTTCAATGGCAAACTCTGGCATTGCAGCAGAAGTATACATAGGTTAAATAAATCTAAAACAGGGCCGAGGGGCCTGTCACCAGGCTGAAGACCAGAATGAACCTACCATGTGATTTCAGCTGAGTTGCGCTCTTTTTGCTGTTGCCTCATAGGATGCCAAGTGCCACCCTGGGACAGGACATCCCTCTCCTGTCTCACGGTCCCTAATGGGATGGAGGCAGCCAGGACCCCATTGCACAGTCATGCAGACCATGGAACAAGACTCAGACCGCAGCTGGTCTCTGTGCCAGGCTCAGGGAATTGCATTTGGAAACCTGAGTGGCCAAAGCATGAGGAGCTCAGGCTGCTGCAGAGGGTATGAGCACTGCAAGGACTCGACAGCATTACTTTTCTGGATAAACAGTCAATTAGAAGGCTGGTCAAGTAAACGATCTAGTGAGCAGCACTCATGTTTGTGTGCATGTGTGCAGTCCTTTCTCTCTCGCTATGGAGCAGACACAAGAGGGTTTTCCCTAGGCAGAATTATAAATGCCTCCAGCAGAAATTGCCGCCAGCTCGGAGGGCAGGCAGGGTGACCAGTGGAAGCAGTAGCCAGCATCTCTCCTGCCAGGACTGGGTAAGCTGAGTTCATCTGTAAAGATCTGCTGCTGCAAAGCAGCTTCTCCAACAGTGCATCACTCCTGTTGGACCAGAGGAGCATCTTGGCTTGCGCAGATCTATACATCTCATAGCAGCCACCTCACGCCTGACCCATTTCTCCATGCAAAGCTACCAACCACTCTTCAGCACTAACTTCTGAGGCGCTGGTGGGAATGCAAAAGATTCAGTGGGAGCAATGCAAAGAGACCCCCTCCATACATTTCCCCTTCCCAGCCCTTTTCAGTTGCCTCTCTCCTATTTCTTTCCCAGTTTCAAGGTGTACTTTGTGCTCAAGCGTGCCTGGCCCCTTATAGAAATTGAGTTTGAGCCATCCGGGAGATGCATCCATTAAGCACAGTTTCATCAAACACTTAATTTTCAGTCTGCTAGCTCTTCAAGCCTGGTTTAGAGCTCACGTGCAGCATCAGAGCAACTCCCCAAAGGAGCATTGCAGGCACAAAAGTGGAGCAAGCTGAGGCTGTGAAGGGGAGCACAGCTTTACTCCAGAATTTGGCAGCCCTCCTTTACTACAAGATTTCTCTCCCTTCAGACTGCACAACTGTGATCCCAGCTGGCGACAGGACCCCATTCCTGGCTTTCTCCCTGGAATGGGCAAGATGCTGCTGAGATGGGCTGCTAGCACGACCGAGTGCTGGGGTGGGCAGTGGTGTATCCTATAGGACCCGAGGCTTTAGAAAAGTGCTCAGACGCATTCCTTGGGTAGGCAGCAGCAGGAAAAGAGGAATTTTGAGGTGGCTGGAGGTCTCTGTGGCTTTTTCCAGTTTGCTGCTTCTGACCTGCCAGAATGACACAGCGCGAACAAAACAGCTGGGAATTTAACTTCAAAACCCTCAGTAATGCTAAGAATTAAAAGAAAAAAATAAGGAAAAAAAATTAAAGTTAAACCAGACCTTTTTCTCTGGCAGTGGGGACGTGGGGAGCAGGAGTTAAAAAGATATTTTCTAGTTGCCAAAATGAGGAAGAAAAGACTAATTAGAGAAAAAAAAAAAAAAGAAAAATGCTGATCTTCTTCTGAATTTTGCTGAATATTTTGGTTGAGCACTGGCTAAGGGCTCTCTCTGTGGCTACGCAGACCCCAGGCTTAGCCTAGCAAAGGTCTCTGGCAAACTCACCTTGCTCGGGCAGGCAGCAGCCGGGGGGGATGCTCGTGCTCCCAGCTGTGCCGTGCTGTGCCATGCTGTGCTGTGCTGCGCCCACCTCACGTTTATAGCATCACGTTGCAAAGCCCCCCGAGGCCCCCAGCGGAAGCTGCAAATCCCCGTTCCGCATTTCCTTTAACACTGCGTGTGCTGGTGGGAGCTTCCCAGTGGCCAAACCTGTGCCAGACCCAGGGAAGCTCCAGGCATCTTGGATGCAGAGCGTGGCAGAGCCTGGTGGCCATGCAAAAGTGCGGTCCTCTGACCAAGCCACGGCTGCCTCCAGCACTGATGATGTTTCAACACCTTCTGCTGAGGTCCGTGTCCTGCCAGCAGATCCTCAGCTGTGGGGGCTGCTCTGTCGTCTCATGGGCTATAAAGATTCACAGATCATGAAGCCACTCCACATCAGTAGCAACCTGTTTCCCTCTTAGCATATTACTTGGTCATCATCTGGCCAAAGATTCTCTGGATCTGTTCACTCAATCAGACTCAGCCCCAGTATTCAGGGAGAGGCTGCTAGTGATGAACAAGTGGCCCTCATGATGCCATGGACAGCCCAGGAGCTCCCATGGGGTGACTCCGACCACCCTGCAAATGGGCTCTGCATCACCAAGTGCTTCTCCTTTACCTTGGCCAAGCTGTGGTCCTGGTCTCACAGGGGTACAGCATACACTGGCCTCTATGCCTTGCAGGAAGAGAGTAACTCTGGGGGCAAGAAACAGACAGAAACCATACTGAGATGTTCTCTCTTATGCTCATTTCCAGTCCCAGGTATTGACACTTGCCCAAATCCTCTCTGTTGCTGTGCTCCTGATTTGTGCTTTTTAGATTTCCTCTTCTTTCTCCACGTTGGTACTAATGTGGTATCTGAGTGGCCTCTTTCTAGTACTGACCTTTCCTAGCCTTGGTCCTCATGGACAAGAACCATGAACACGACATCCCTCGGCCATACTTAAACCTCCCCAGGCAACCTTTGCTGTTACAGAAGGAAACTCAGGGATGCACACAGCCTATAAAAACCTTTGACCATTTGATGGACGCATTCACCAAGAAATCCTATCCTGCTCCTCCGCCATGAGATGTACCTATCAGCACGTGCCATGAGGTCTTAACACAGGCCTGGGGGATCTGAAATCACACCAGCCCCTGGAAAGATCAGGCCCTGCTGTCTGATTCACTGCTTCTCCAATGCCACTTTTCTTCATTGATGTTATTCTCCACTTTTTTAGCCTCACTGAAGTCTACACTTGCCATATTCAACATGGTTGCTGATGCCTTCTTTAACCCAATCACTTCAATTGTATCGTGTCCTTTGCCCCTGCTTACACACACAAACATCCCTTTCCCTGGCCTAGCTTCTTGCTTTTACCTATTTTTCATCTTTCTGTGAAAAACACATTTGACTTTGGTTCCTCACTTTATACCCATGGGTGCACTCTTCAGAGATCCAGGCCCCTTTAGCTAGAGACAAATGCATCCACATACACATAAATTCATATGTACACACACCTATATACACAGACACATCCATGCTTGCATGCGCTCCCCTTGTATGCAGACATATGGACACAGGTGCATCCATGCACACACTCATCCACTATATAGGTGCACATTGCACGCTCACACACCTCCTATATGCATACACATGTACATATGTGTGCGTGCACAAGCACACACATGCCTGTGTGTCCACACTGATGTGTCGGTCTGGTTTCCACTGTGATCAGCAGACACTTTTCATGGGGTCTAGTGATCCAGGGTCTTTTGTGAGTTCAGAAAACAGATCTGCAGCCACCATCTGGCACTGCAGGCTGCTCGAACTGCACAATGACCTCTCTCCGGAACTTACCTCTGTAGTTAAATAATCCTTAGGAAAACACAGAGGCTGACTGATATTTATGCCATAACTTTCTAAACAGTATGTCCTTGTTTAGTTTTAAATTATTATCTCCACACAGGAATTACCGAGGTAGATCGTGCCTGGCTTCTGCCTGACAGGAGGTCTGACTCTGTAGTTACTATGGTGGTGTTTCATTTATTTTTCAAACACATTTGATGAGAGTCAGAGTTTCACCTGGAAAATGGCAAAATAAGTCCTTTCACATTGCTCTGCTTGCTCAGCTGAAGGTCCTGGTTGGTCTTTGCTACAGCAGGAGTTGCTTGCAGAGGGACTGGGCTTCTAGGGTGGTGGAAATCCACCCTCTATCACAGCTTCTATCACAGCTTCTGTCACAGCTTGCTGGTGGTGACACAGTGTCTTGCCTTGAACAAGGCTGCTTGGGACAGCACAGCTTGTAGCTCCAGGAAGCCCAAGCTGGAGCTTCCAAACATCAGCCAGGAGTGAAGCAATGATGTTCTCCAAGGAGGGACATTTCAGAAAATATTTAGAGAAGCCCAAACCTCTGGAAAACCACTCCTGCCTGCACATGCCTGAAAACACTGCGGTTCTGCTTTCAACATCCCCTGTTAACACTTCCTTTTCCTGTACAAAACCTAATGTTTTTCTCTTCCCAGTAACCGGGACTGCAGTTCTGGCCCATGCCAGGGGTCACCATCGTGACACGGTGTCGAGGGGACATCTGTCTGCCCACTCATTTGGTCGCACCATGGTGCTCACAGCCCCAAGAGCCGGGTTTGCAGCTGTGTCTCTTCTCTCCATGGGAGAAGCCCCTGGGGTTTGGTGTGTCTGGTTAAATAGGGCTCTCCAGCAGACGGTCTGTCCATGTGTGTCTGCAGCTGGGGCTGTCCTGTGTCCCTGCCCACATCCTCTGTTCTGCTGGGGTAAGTATAAAG